TAATTCACAAATTAATTTACTGAACAAAATGAATTTGTGAAAGATACTTTCTTTCATAGTTAATATTAAAATGAATAAATGACGATTCAGAAAAGTAAAAGTTGTTTCTGGAAAAAAATGTTTAGCTTAAATGGGAAAGTTTTATCACATATCTCAGACTTTATCTGATAGGATTAATAAATTAGTCTGAAATGATAAAAGCTGATAAAGTCACAAACGATAGTTGTTAAAAAACTGCAACCCCCTACAAATCCACATAGTGATGATAATTATGTGCTTATTAGTGGCTAGCTTCATGGTGGATTTCCTGAAGTTCTAGTAAGAAGCTGTGATCATTGGAATTCAATCCGTGTAGAGTATGAGAGAGTTATCCACCTCAGACAATGGATGAAGGGTTGTGAAAGATCATGGATCAATGGAAGTTAGACATTAACACCATTGGATGCCGGCTTAGTGGTCTAGAGTTTAAGTGTTCACGCGCGATGCCTAAGGTACTGAGTTTGAGTCTTGTGTGGAGGATCATGGATGCGCACTGCTAAGGAGTCTTATACTAGAATGAAGCGACCGTGCAGTGGTTCATTGTTTCCAACGATGGTCTAGCTTAGATTGTCACATGAATCCAAGTGTTAAAATAACAAGTTAAAAGTTTTGAATAAGCTTTATTGTAATGAAAGATTATTACGATGAGATTACACTTTCTATTAAATATTTCTATGATTATATTTACTTGTCATAACTGAATTTCTTTCATTTTTTTGGTATGTCTTAGAAAAGGGATTCCATCAAATGATGCAATATCTTCGAGTCAAGAACCTCAGTCGTCCCCACAAATTCCAGCAGTTGTTAAACCACGGCGTGGATCCATATTTGTTTCAGCACTTGCAGCGGAACAACATGGCGCATCAACTTTATCAACAGATAATGCGTAAGTTAGAGTGTCGATGAAAACAGCTCATATTCATTTGATTTAACTAATTGTCAAGAAAGCTAATCAATAGTTTGAGGCTATAAACATTTTTCACAGATTGAACTCATGAGTCAGTTGAAGCTAGACCACCATTGAAAACCTGGAAGCACTGGACGGCCGTTTCGTCCTAGTATGGGACTCCTCAGCAGTGCGCATCCACGAACCCGCACCACCCGGGGCTCGAACCAAGGACCTACTGGCTTCGCGCGCGAGCACTTAACCATTAGACCACTGAGCCGACATCCAACGGTGTTAATGTCTAACTTCAACCAATCCACGAAGTTGCGCCACCGTACACCATTGTTTTCAGTGAGTTCCTATCTCACAACAGACCTGGTTGAACTCCACTGGTAACGACTTCTCACTAGAACTCCAGAAGTGTCTCCTGAAGTCAGTCACTAGTGAGCAGGTGATTATTATTATCAGAATGGTTTTTGTGGAGATTTTTAGAAATCAACTGACTCATGAGTTCAATCTGTGAAAATTTCTAAAAATCTCCACAAAACACATTCTGATAATATAAACATTTTTCTTTTAAATAATTTAACAGTTTACCATGGTAATTATTTTGCATCACATAGAATTAATGAAGCATATGATTAGATTAAAAGTACTAGTCACCTCGAAAATAGTAACAGACAGATTTTTTTTCTTTTCAATGAACATCATTCTAAAGAGCAGCACATTATTCGCATCGTCTCTCCATTTACAATGATCAAGGTAGGCAATAAAATGAAATGACATATTAGGTTTTTTAAGGATAGTAAAAGTAAATTGTTGTTATGAAATTTTTTTATTGTTATTGTCATTTTCAACGGACACTGATTACGCAAAGCATGTCAAAACATATCAATGTGTTTTAAAATTTTTGCTCTGCAGTTGTTTACACTTTTTATGACGAAAAAAGGTAGTTTGATAGAGAATGAATTGTTTTAGAGTATAGACGAATCCGATAACCCTTCCTAGTTTTGTGATTATTGTCATCTACCTATCTTCCTAAACAAGTCACATTCTATGATGAACACATCATGTCGTTTAGCCGTTGTAACTTTTTGAGAAACAAACTGAAATCATGTATTTCAAACACAATAGTTTACAGTGTACCAACTCGATTATACTAATTTATCTTACAGATATAGAGTCTTGTATTGTATATTTGAATGGGACTTTGCACACTAGTCAGCTGTTAAACAGTGGATATACTGACCAGTCAAACATATTCAAACATAATACATTCCAAATTGAAATAATTTTGTAAACTTATATAATATTCATATAATCATAATCATATCTTGATTTGTTCACTGTTAATTTCTATGTATGAGCAGTAAAGGACCCAATAATAAACCGACAGTATATTCTATTGATATTTGGCTAGGTAAAATACAAATCTATTTAACTTACAAAATAGTGAATTATCATAATTATATGCTTTATGCAAAATGTCTGTCTTATTAATTTATAGTGACTATTCAAGACTAAAAAGAGGCTTTATTGGAAGAATCCAGAAAAAAATACCTTAGAAAAAGTAAAATAAAAGTCCACAGTAAATATGACAAACAAAACTTTGCATAAATTATGCATAATTTAGTTGGTTAGCGTGTACTATCTATAAATAAAAAAAAGATAATCAAGCATAACAATCATTCATTGTTATAACTATTTACATTCTTTTGATTGGCGAAAATATGTAAATTATCAAGGGAGTTAGATTGTCGTCCTTATACATATATATATCTGACTTGCTATAAATGTTTAATCATTACTATTGGATTTATTACCAGCAAGTGTCCACTAAAATCAGTGTTTGATTGAGTTCTATAGACTGTTTATCCAATAGTTAAGTTATAAGTTTAATGTGGAAAAATACTGTATCAATCAAGCTGTCGAAATGTGAAAATTCAAAATATACCTGCGCAATACATTCACAAATAACGGTTCAATAAAGAGAAAGCAAGAAATAAACAAAATTAGTAAAAAAGGTGAATAGGTAAAAAAGTATCCAGTGACACTATAAGTTAAAAGATCACTCCAAGAACACATACATATCATTCTAGTTAATCTCACTTCATATCACAATAGCAAAATGTTTAAACTATATGAAGATCAGAAGACTTAAGCAAATAATATCATTCAAGATAGTGAACAATCAAAAATAGGAAATATATTTAAGAAATAGTCAGTCAATTCGAGAGATAAACCGTACGAAATAATCATCAACGTCAAAAGTTACGGAATAATATAGAATCAATAAATCTTTACGATAGAAGTTAATTTTGTGGTATATCGCTTATAATTTTTAATCACAAGTATAACATGAACCATCTGACGGCGCATTATTGTACATTTCTCCATAACCTGATTCTATAATCTGGTTACGTGGCTACTGAAATGTATTTGTATCACTATTATAGTACATTATGCATATAGATGTAGGCATTAACAGTGCATATAATTATTGCTTACTTTGTGTCTTATCTACTGTTTCAAAGTAGGTGTTGACAACATGCTTATATCAACTGAAAACAACCGAAAAACTAAAACTTGTTTTTTCCGAGCTTACAATTTTTTTAGCTGATAGACATGTTAATCTCTCAACGTAACGCTATTCTGTTCGGCTAATGAGTCACAATTTGAAATGTGAAGGAGTTGAAAACTGGAATAAAAGAGCTTTCCAGCAATCTTTCAGCTTTTGACAGTTAAGATATAGAGAATAAGGAAACAAAGATTACATATTTTAATTCAACAGTCATTATTGATTTGACTTGATAAATATTTCATAGTTTATTATGATATGATGAACTCAATTTATCGTTGACAAAATGACCTAAAACTTAAAGCTACGTATACAAAGATACCTTAAATTCATATATTATTATTAATGGCTTTATTCAATATTAAATTTTTGGTAAAATATAGAATTCTCAGCACAAAGTATCTCAACAAGTTTCCTTTTCTTATTTCTTGATCGATCCTGAAGGCAAATAGTGAGTGATTCCAAGTTATAAGTTAGCAGTTCAGTAATCGATATCCGAATAAGGTTTATTCTTTTCAATTCATATTGCCAGCTGCTACGATGTTTCCGATAGTACTTTTTTGTAATTTGTACAGCGAAAGGTTGTAAACGTTTCATAAACACACATGTGAATAGGTTTTGCAACAAATGAACATAATGATGCGTTGAAACAAACAAAGACAGATGACTTGTTGAAATACTTAGATAGCAGGAACAGGTGGACCAGATATGTCAGTATTGCAGTTAATAATGTTAATAGTACCGTAATGATATAAATAAGAATTTTAGTATGATACCATGATCACACCGTACGTAAAAATTCGAACAAATAATAATAAACAGTTTTGTTATAACTGATGAACTAAATTAAAAATGAGAAGACACATGAATTTTATTTCATTTCTTGGCACTATAAACACATTGTTATACAATGGATAATTAGTTTGATTAAGGAGAATATATTTTAAAACCAATGAATCAATAACCAATAACTTAAACTTTTAAATACAGAAATACAATCCGTTATATAATCCATCTCCTTATCTTGTGTCTTATATGAATAATTGCCTCGGTTCCCACTTACCAAGATAGAACTAATCATAATTATTATTATTATCATTATTGTTTAAAAGGAATACTGATCGTCAGATAGACAATCAACCGAAATAAATGAACCATTGATTTTAAACATTCATTATACCTGTCCTTAGATAATGAACTTGAACAATATTCAAATATTATGCTTATTTTATTCCATATTTGTAAATTTCATCAATGTTACACTATATATTGTATAATCAATCCACTTCTCGACAATGACTGATATATATATATATATATATATATATATATATATATATATATATATATATATATCTTGTGAACTTTTAATAAACAAACGAATGAAGAATATATACGGATCAACACAGACATACATAGTATGACATAGAAACATGAAAACCCACCCGTATATATATATATATATATATATATATATATATATATATATATATATATGTATTCCTATGCGTAATTGTTTATAAATATTTGTTACATACTACTTATTATTCAGTATAATATTTCGTTTCTAACTTGCTTCATTTCTGTAAAACTAATTAAAATAACACTATTATTGTTATCATTAACAAACATTACACGTATTGAAATGTAATGTTCATGGAAGTATTTTTACAGTTATTGATTTATTCATTGAACATTATTAGACCTACTGTTTACATACCTTTTTTATGATGACTTATAAAAACAAGTGATTAATACATTGTTCATGTCTATCGCAATGTATCATCAATTTATGTCAGTAAATGGTTTACAATTTCATTAAATAATTATGACAATATAAGGCGTCATGTGGAAGAAATGTTGTACTATAAGCTGTATAAAATGTAGTGATCATCATCATCATCATCATTCTCAACCGAAATTAAATCAGAAGAATACATCGAAATCGAAAACAATTAAGCATCCTTCAACAAATTCAGAACATAGTCGGTCTTTATTATTAGTGAATTCTTCAAATACAAAACATGCAGAAAATAATTATAATGTAAATTCAAAATGTGATCATTTGACCACTTCTATGACCACCAGTAGAGATTATCAAGTGGAGACTCAGAATATGGTAGACGATAGTGATCGTAGAAGCATGATGACAACAGTAACTACTACTCACACTACAACAACAACCGGTGTGGCTACTATATCTACTCCTACTTCCATTAATAGCATAACAACTTCAGATTTAAGTAAAATAACTTTATATCAACCTGGATCTAACGGTAAATATAGTCAGCATTCATCACAGATTAATCCAATGAATAAAAACACTGTAAATATCACTACTACTTCTGCCATTACTGCTGATACCAACGATAGAAATAATGGCGATACTCATGGATCAAAAGATAATAGTCTGGCCCCCCTCATGTTGTCTACTATAACTAGTTCATCTGTAATAATGCGTCCAGGTAAACAATTAGAATCTTTTGTACACAGAATTGAAAAAGATGAGGAAGGCACTAGGCCATTTAACCAGTTGTTTAGGCGATCTGTTTCAAATATACATTTCACAACGAATAATCATGCTTATTCTCACTGTAATCATCATAATTCTCCTACATTTTTTTTACCACGTACATCAACTGATCCAAATACATCAACATCAAATGGTTTATATTCGATCACAAATAATTCATTTGAATCACAATTAATGAATAAAAAAATTCCTATACGTAGAGGATCGATGATTGTTAGATTGGGTCGATCTAGTACAGGTGGGGCAACTGTTGCAACTAGTACCAGTTCACCAAGTACAAATGGAATAACTGGAGTCTTACCAGATTCATCCGTTGAAGGTGTGATTGTGACACCATTTGCTCAAGTGCTTGTTAGTATGCAACGAATACGGAATGCATTTATCAGGTTGACCGCTGCTCAAGTATCAAATAGGTGAGTACTTACCATTTCTACGATATCAATAAAGTATATGATACTGTTTCCCTTTTTCAAAATCATCCACTTCAATATGTCATTATTTTTAATTGTAGATATTATAGACTATATGAAGATATACATTGCTTTCCCACCTAAGAAACTCGTCAGTTGAATTTATTAGCATTTAGATAATATTTTATTCTTATTACGCTTACGAATCGGTACTCTTCATCGTCATATTCTTCTGTTTTCAAGCTTCAGAACCACCTTCACATTACAACTTTTTTCACTAAATCATGTTTATTTGAACAGACGTCTATACATTCATACATAAAAAATTTCGCCCTGTTATCAGATTGCCAAAGCAGGACCTATATAATGAAAGGTGAACTAATCTAAGCAGTGGTTGTTCTAAATTTCACTAGACGAATAGATAAATGTTGAGCTAGAATAGATGGAATATGGCTAGCATTGGAATCTACGATGAATTCTTCGTCCAATTTCGGACTCATCGGGTGGATGTACCTGGGTCGTAGGGTTAATTTTCACTCTGGGATCGGCACCTAATATCGTTCATTTTAAACGCCGTTGCGTTATCGACTTAGCTACTTAATCGAGATAGCCACTCACTTGTGCAAGATGCGAGATTTGTTATATTTGAGATTCGTCGCATATATCGAGATAGTTCGCTTAGGGTTCTCATATGCTAACCAAGATTGATCAAATTCCAGTCAAAAATATCAACAATAGGTTAATATAAGCCATTCTAAATTGAATTATATCCAGCAATAACTTGTATTCTATTAAACAGTAATTGATAAAACAAACAGCCTTAGTACAGATTGATAGAAATGAACAGCTACAAATTCTTGGTTATGTGCAATTCTATCGGCAAAACCCGCGAATTCAGTGGTGAGATATCAAAATTAGATGGAATGACACTTATGAAATAATATAAGTGAGTCACAATTAGGAAAAATAAACTTAATCATTCACATGCTATGTAGACGGTTGTTGAAAGATGCCTACATATATGAAAATATCAGCTGATTTTGAATAACGAAATTTAGTGGTACCTTGTTAAGTTATCTAAATTTTGTATGATAGGTAGTTTATTCATGTCATTATCGTATAAGCAAGTAGAAATTGAGAAGAAATGTTAGAATTTGTAAAAAGATTTTATTAGTTCTATTCACTTACATTGGAAAAGTGAACCAATGCTTGAATATTCCAGTAATTTATTTGTAAGTACTGATCACTACATGGGATTAAAAATAATCCGCCAACTTACTACTTGATTTATCTGATCATAAATGCGATCTGGACAGTCGAACAATTAATAATACCCAATAGGTCTTTAAATGTGCATTGTAAATGAGTAAACACATATCTTTTGCTATACATGAATGTTTGATAAATTGTATTCTCTTTAGTCGTCGATTTAATATAATATTGAGCAGACAAATGAACCAAAAGTTACGTAACGAGTTCATTTATATTTTCTATTGTAATCTATAAAGCGTATTGCACATAAACGTTTTCGTATAATGAATTGAATGATTTTACAAAATTCTCTATACAGAAAATAAACAATTATACTTTTTAAATTTTTTTACATATGAGTAATAATGTGGCGGTGTTCCAGCCAGATTAGTTGGTTAAGTCTTTTCTGAGGAGGCCTATGTAGGTCCTTCTGGAATGGATTCCTTGTTTTCAAGGCTCACAAACCCACAGCGTGAATGTGATTTTGTGGAGAATCACGGTCCCGCAGGTCCGTTGACCGATTAGGTTGGCTAGCAAGGTTGACTTTACTATCCAGCAGCGCTGAGAGGAGGTCTTATGTCCGAATTTTTCTGCCGATTATTAAGGTGTAAAGGTAATAGTTAATAGGATAAGACATAAATGGAATTTCGGTAGTTAGAAACCTAGGTTTGAACTTTACGAATAGAATGACCATCTGTTTGTCAGTAATGATCAATTTAAATATGAAAAGTAAAATATGAATAATTGGTGTAATTTTATTTCACCTCCTTATAATGAAATATTTAGTAACGTTGTAATCTAATTCAGTAATCATTTAATACGATGTTACTGACTTTATTGTACACCATATTTATAACTGTTTTATATTGTAAAACTGTTTACATTTGTAAATTTATCATACTATATACTTGTGTACATTAATGAACCATAAATACGACTGTATAGCTTTAGTCACTTTTCTCTAAAATTTCATTAATTTCTCGATTACAATTAACTTTTAACACTAGTGTTGTTATTTCTGTCACTCATGTACTAATGAAGTTTATAGAGTATGATATAGAACTAGGTGGAATATAAATGGAATAAATTAAAACGAAACACGTTCATACTAACAAACTAACTTTACATCATTAACAATCTGTGTTAAACAATATACTAAACTGGTAGTCAATTTTAATGTAATTCAATGTTTAATACTATTTGTATGTAAAACTAATAATCTTTGATTTCAGTTGTACTCAAGTTGATCGGGTTGAATATACAGGAAAACATATCAGCTGTCCGACAATATCAAAATTATAAGAAAAGAAAAAAAAACTGATTTCATCAAGAAGAATTTTATTGTTTATTCTAGTTTCACATCGGTTCGCGATATAAACTATGGAAGTTTAGCACTTTCCACAGTATTCTATGATCATAACCTCAGTATGCTTACCAATGACTAACTTCTTGATGTAACTCTAGTGAAAGCCATGACCGTTTGAGGAGTAAGATGAATATCAGCATTCATCGGATCATAAATTAATTAGGGTTAGACATGTAAACCACTCTGCGCCAGCTCAATAGTTTTAACATACGTTGTGAGACTTGAAAACTCTGGATTTTTTTACAGGTTGTGTCGTGGATGTGAACTACTAAGTAATCCTATTTTAAGGTGAAACAATTGTTTAGTGATTATCTAAATAAGGTCAGCTCGCGAAGTACACTATGATATTTAAGTTTCATTTATTTATTATAACTGGAACAAGAAAATATTACATTTTTCTATTGATTAAGAAAGTAATAATGATATTTATATTATGAGGTCAATTACAATAAATAAAGAATGGAAGAATTAATTTCTGTCATGAAACTCTAGAACATTCACAGGTCAATTTGTGGATGTGAACAAGAACCTTCTGGGTACACAAATAATTAGTTATGTGTGACTTCTTGTTAATCAGGTCAATTTTCTTTTTCTTTTTCTTCTTCTTCTTCTTCTTCTTCTTCTTCTTCTTATTATTATTATTATTATTATTACTCATTTCTGTAAACATGTAGAAATTTTACGATTTACCTTTTAAAATCAAATGGTTTTTGTTGATTAATTTGTACACATAAAATGAAAAATAATTAAGTAAATAATAATCGTAAATAATTATTTATAGTATTGTGTTTAATTAGAAGTAAAACGTAGAAAAATCAAATATTCGCTGCCTGGTAACTGTAAATACATAGATCAATATGTGCATCTTTATGTATTATGAAATATTGTCACTCTTGTGGCCCACGTTATCAGGCTGTTTGTTTATATGGGCCATTAATGATGTGTACACCTTGGGCCTATTAGACAAATGACATTCAGTTTAATTAATAAAATGATTATATTGACAATAATTAGTCTTAAACAACAAAGACGAATAATCTCATTAATATTAGTTCAGAAAGCAGCACCCTTCAAGCCATAGTAGCCATTCACTAGTCGAAACAGAACCGAAAAATAAAACTTATTATTGTCAATCATCATGATTAAAACACTCATAGGCTTGTACACAATAATCATCAGAACACAATTCATGATTATTAGGTGATTATAAGTAATGCACAACCAAGGTGTAAGTGTTATGAAATGGAGTAAAAAGCAAATGATTAATTAACCATGATTTGAGGAAGGAAAATATAAAAATACAATAATCTGGTTATTTTGTAACCAGCTCTGATAGTCTTCAGCTTCTTATTACATTATCGAAATTTATCAAAGGGACTAATTGTTTTATATTTTATAACCGTTTAACGAAAATGTATTTGATCCAAGCTATATTTAAAAATGTTTTACAGCCAAAAATCACTTGAATTTAGTTTGTCAATCAATTCTGTACTTATAATAAGTCTTATAAAAAAAAATAGTACCATGAATTTCGTTATAAATGGGGTGAAATGTATAATTCAATTATAAAACTGTCGTAATAATGTGTGTTTGTACTAGTTATCTAATAAAAAATTTATGCCATACATTGTTTACACTAATGAAATTAAAAATTGGTCCACTTAATCGCAATCAGGCTCAACGGCTACAACATTAACGTTGAGCGTGATGAATGCATGTAAATTAAGTTACTGAAAATTCACTTTCTTTGAAATTTCTAGCTTATTATCTTTGTGCACGACAAATATTGAAAAATTCCACATTTTTCAAGGTATAATAATAATTTAAAGATCCCCATCATATTAAAAGACTAATATTTGAACGAAGAATATTCTTTTCGATAAATCCTCTTCAGGTTCTACAATTATATATCCAGATTATTAATCCGAAAAATGGCCAAATTAAGGGTAAAGTACATCGTTTAGAGCATGTGAATTTAGGATTGTGATAAACAAAATACAATAAAATTGTTAATGTTAATATGACTCATATAAAATGTTAACTTGAATCTGCGTATATGTTAAATGAAAATTTTAAGATCCATGATCAGAATAAATATGGGTCAAATAGGGTGAGAGAGAAATAAGAGTGCAATTACAATTCGATCAAATAAGTAAGACGTAATACGGAGGGATGAATGCGAAGTGAATGAATCATGTATAGGGGAGATTAATGATGCCTAACGAATAATACGAGTAATAATAATAATAATAATAATAATAATACGAATAATACAAAGATTTATGAATTAAGATAACAGGGACAATTACAATTGACTACGAAAGGTCATAGTCAAATTGGGTCATTCAATAGTTAAGATTACGATTGGCCTTGATGTTGGCCAGGG